ACTCTGTTAAGGACCTCCATAGCAGCCGCTGAAAAAGCCAGATTGAGCTACGTAACTTCAGCTTAATTTCTTACATAGGTTATGGATCAAAGTCACCACTACACCAGACTAGCTCTCAAACTTATATTAGGTTACAAAATCCCCAAAATGGAATACTCTTGCTTTTAGGACCAATTTTATTTCTGAGTACTTTAGAGTGGGGTTTTCTCCATTCTCTGGGTAGCAACTCTTTGATCAACAGAAGAGCTAGTAATCATTTTCCAGAGAATGGAGGAACTTACACTATGTTCCAAACTGTCCTCTTTTCCAGGCACTGAGAAGAACATGACAATTGAGTTAGAGCTATGTTTTAGAACAGAAGTTCATACAATTTTGGGGCATAACTTTTTATGCACTCTGGCATACTTTTAAAAACTGAACCCCTCAATGGAGGCATCATACAGTGCAGGGATTCAGCACTGCCTGATGCCTCCATTGAGGGGCTCAGTTTTTGAAAGTATTTTAAAAGAGGCAATGTCATCATGTTTCAGATAAAAGTTGCATTTTAAAATTTATTGCCTATTAGACTCCTTAAGAACCAGTTAACCATATTCTATGTAACAAAGCCACGAAGAATCTTCCTTGCACTTTCTATTAAGATAATGTTATTCAAATTGTGATCAAGAAAAAGTGGGCAAACATGGTTATCCTTTTTCCCTAGAATCTCCACAGTACAAACAAAAGCACTCTCTTATCACTTAGTGCATTAATTTGTGTAAAATGCTCAATATACTGACTTAGTTCCAGGTTAATTCAGCACTGTTTCTAAAAATCCCAGCAGCTATCAAGCACTGGTAATCCAATTTAATCTGGGAGGCTTAGAAATTTCTCAGAACTACCCAATTGGAGGGAGATTAATATTAAACAGCTGAAAGTTGTTTGATTGCATTGGGATATAAATGCAATAAATGAATAAGTGGAAGTAACCTGTAGAAAGATGAAAGTTGCAACAGACCTATACAACAAATAACTGGATGAATATTTTGCATGTGCATCTAGAAATCTTCACCTGTGTTCTAAAGGCACAATTTAAAAAGCAAAATAGAATATTTAATAATCCTCTAGGGACCTGAAATTCCAAGCAGACATGCAAGTGGATGAGTGGGGGAATGTCATATATAACTAAATTTCAGGCTCACATACTCCCCTCTCCCTCTCTTTTGTGTGCAAGAAAACTTCAGTTACATCTCAAGTTAGGCAATTCTGATTTGTTTAAAGATTAGATTGTGGTTGCTGAATCAAATATTTAAATACTGTAACTAGAATTTAAACTAATTACAGTTCTCTGAATTCAGATGTATTCCTACTAGTATAAAGCTGAAAACAGATGTACTAATTTCTACTATTGGTATATACCCAAAAAGGGAATCTATAAATCTGGGGACTATGGTTGCTCATGGATTTGGAATAAATTGAGATTTGGCAAATTAGACAAAAGATTCCTTTAAGTTAAGAGAGTGAACATTCTTGCATTCCAATATCAAGTACATTATGCTATATCCTAATGGAACCATCCCCCTTCATGGATCACTGCCTTGTCGTGGCGAAGGGGCTTGCGTAACTCAGTGAAGCCATGAGCTATAC